CGCCTGGCTTTCTGTGCCGTTGGGTGCCAGGCTTCTGCGGTCCAGTGTGCCAGGGGGTGTGAATAGCCCGCATCAGCCTGTTCCCGGCCTTGCGGATGCTTCGCTCGCTTCCTTTACATTCGGAGTGTATCGTGAGCCTAGCACTTTCTTGAGAGAAGCGAAGCTCCTCAGGCATCCCTTTGACACATGTCGTGGGCTCCCAGATGGCATGCTTAAAGTGTTGCACTTTGTCTTGGTGCAGGGCCCAGTCGGAGTCATGAGGCACCGGCTCAACGTCTTGAAGCTTTGGCAAAAGTGGGCAACTGAGCTTGCCGGCGAGGAGGAGAAACTTCGTGCAAGCCTCCATCCTGACGTGAGAGCTGTCCTTGGTAACAAGCGTGTCCTTTTGATGAAGAAGATTGCTTCGTCCCTTCAGTGGCCCGACACCACTTTGTGGGATGATCTTACTAGCGGTTTTAAACTCACTGGATCCCAGCCTAGGACGGGAGTCTTTGGTCCAGACTGTAAACCCGCTTTGTCTTCAGAATCTGAATTTTGGATGGCTGCATCCGCGCAGAGGGATGCAACCTGGAATCGAGTCGATGCGGCACCGCCTCAGGAATACTCGAAGCCCCTGTGGGACATCACGCTTGAAGAGGCCGATCCCGCAGGCAAACGTTGGCTGCATGGCCCGCTCACTCGAGAAGAAGTGGATGCGATTTTCCCTGGCGGCTGGATGCCGTGCCGCAGGTTTGCAGTGTGGCAGGGGAAGTGGCGACCAATTGATGACCTAAGTGAGAGCGGAGTTAACTCATGTTTTGAGTGCTTCGAGAAACTTTCTCTTAAGGCCCTTGACGAGGTAGCGTGGGTTTGCATGTACATCATGAAGGCTTGCAAGTTCACTGGCTCCGTCGATCTTGAGCTCAGTGATGGCACCAGGCTTCGTGGTCCGGTGCACGCTTGTTGGAAACAGGTTGCCCATTGCAAGCCACAGACGAAAGCTTACGATCTGAAGTCAGCCTACAAGCAGCTTCCTTTGAGGCCTTCTGAGCAGGCGAAGGCAGTTCTCGTTTTGAAGGANNGCTTCGGGATTTGTGTGCAAAACGTTACCGTTCGGTGCATCAGCGTCTGTGCTGCACTTCAACAGAGTTTCGCTATTCCTGCAGCGCCTCATGTGGGAGCTCCTTGTTTTGACCAGCTGCTACTTCGACGATTATCCAGCCGCTGCTCCCGCCCTGCTCTCTCAGTCGACTGATCAGGCTGTTCACTCGCTTATGGATCTGCTGCAATTTCAGATGGCAAAGCCTAAAGAGAAACCTTTTGCGGCCGTGACTGAAATGCTCGGAGTTCTTGTTGACACCTCCGATGATTCACTTGCGAGCGTCAAGATCGGGAACAAACCTGACAGGTCTGCTATGCTCGTTGAGGCACTGGGCAGCATCATATCCTCAGGTCGCGTCGAGACCCGGACTCTCCCGTCCCTTTTTGGCCGGCTCCAGTTCGCTGAAGCCCAGATCCTCGGCAGGACAGGCAGGCTGGCTGTCGCGGATGTTCGTAGGCTCGAACATAGCAGGTCCGAGTTTGTTGATCTCGCTGACGATCAACTGCAAGCTTTTAAGGTTCTTAGGGCTCGGCTCCTTAGGGGTATCCCTAGGTCCCTCGCTTCCTCCCCCGGTGAACCCCCGGTCCTTGTTTTCACTGATGGAGCGTGCGAGCCAGCTGCAAGCGGAGGCCATCTTGCCACCGTCGGAGGAGTCTTGATTGTTCGAGGCAAGCATCCGCAGGTGAGAGTCTTCGGCAGTAAGGTCACGGATGAGCTTGTGTCCAAATGGGCGTCTGAGAAGAGGCACCTTATTGGGCAAACGGAGCTTTTTGCCGTAGTACTTGCCAGATCTTTGTGGTCTGAGTTTCTTTCGAATAAAAGGGCGCTTTTCTTCATTGATCACTCAGGGGTGCTTGGATCGTGCATCTCGGGATCCGCTACCGATCCTTACTGGCGTGAGCTCCTCTTGCACTTCGAGGCGGCAGACGAGCCCGGGCCATGTCTTTCATGGTTCATGCGAGTCCCTAGCCATAGCAACCTTGCAGATGCCCCTTCAAGGGGAAACTGGTCTGAGATGGCTTACCTGGAGCCATATGTCAGGGACCACCCAACGTGCTTCGCTTCAGGTTCCCTTCTGAGTGACGTCGAGTCATAGATGTGATGTATGGGAGGTAAGCATCTACGACTCTCAG